ACTCATACACTAATGTCTGGATGTTTATAGTTTATCCAAAAAGCTAACATTCATGGACATTTCTCAGCCTAATTAAGTGTATTTGAGAGGTTCATAAAATATTAAAAAGATATTTAGCTTTTGGTTGGTACAAGGTAACTATAACTACTAGAGTAATTTTTTTTTAGTCAGATGTTGATTGCCACAGGCTGCAGGAGGCAAGAGCTAACAATTGGCTGCTTAGTCTCATAAAAGCTTCTAGTGACCATAAAGAGCAAATTCTTAAAAGGGCATAACGAGGTGAGCCTAATAAATTGGCCAACAATTTTTGAAGTTACACCTGCTGTCTACAATTTCCTGCTACCAGACCACGAACTCAATAGTTAATAGAATGAGCCAGTTAAGATCATTTTCACAGCAAATTCTTGAGCAGTCAATCAGTCTATTGCCACTATTGCTTCTGCCACCTAATTTCAGGGAAACCATGTAAACCATTCAGACAGATTTCTGACTTTTATTCAAGTTACAGTGAAACTTGGTCCTAATTCTGCATCTAACAGAAATGAAGAACATTTGCTCATAGTCACCTAAGGAAACTTAGACACATGAATATTCTCAGCTCTTCTTCAATGATTTTTTTTTCATGATAAATAACTTTATTCTCTTAGTCTCCCACCACCACAAGCTCTAACTTACCAATATTTTGCACAATCTGAAGGATCACTTCTAAAGTCTCTATAATGCCTAGAGACTTTAGAAGTAATCCTTCAGATTGTGCAAAATATTGGTAAGAGTTAAAAAAGGTTAGAGTTAAAAAGGTTAGGTCACAGTTACTGCCTGGTAAATCTCAACTTAAATATCTTTGATGTGCTTGTTTTATTAGGTATGGTTCCAAATATTTGTATATATACACAAGACAGAAAAATCAGTTCTTCCACATTATTTCCCAGACTGACTGCTCTGCATGTACCCCTATGTAGTTTATTTTGTTTAATACTTGTCAATTTATAGGAATAATCTGAATATATGTACTTCGTTTTTAATTTTGGCATTGGAAATGGGTGAACCACACAAGATCTCACAATAAAGTCTATATGAAACTACTAATCACCACAGATTTTACTTCAAATTAATAGTGATTTAACTCTTTGGGCTACTATAAATGCTCTAATAAGGTCTAGGCTTAAGGACACTGCTCTTTCAGAAGTGACATGTCAAGCTTTATGTGCTTCCTGTAGGATAAGGAAGCAAGACGCAGAGAAGATGCCAAGCAGTCTCCATGATAGCTTCTTTCCAGTATCAGGAGTTTTCCTAAAGAGGATCGCCATAAGCCAATGTGTTGACCTTTAGGTTTTAGAATGATAGTAACCAGAAAGTAATAATATGAACTGATAAAATTAGAAGAGAACAGGAGTGGAATAGAGAAGCAATACAGTTAAGATAAAAGATTCCTTTGGAAAGGCAGGAAAGAAGTAAAGCCTACTTTTACCTACCTGACTAGCTAGCTGGCTTGGCGCCACCTACAGCCATAGCACTGGACCCTCAAAGACCATTGATTGAACTGTGGTCTAAACCAGATTTTTCCAGTGAACTGTAGGTGCCTGGCTTTCTGATTCTACCTCTACATTATGAGGCCAAAGTCAGAGGCTTGATCCTTATGTTAGTCATTGAGCACCAGTTTCATGGTCAACAACTTTTCTTTTAATCTCAACATAACGTGTTATAAATACCATCACTTATACTAAAGGGATTCGTGAGCGAAGATGTGAACCAACAATGCAAACCCATTATGAATACTGGAAAAATTCCTAGGAAAACATGACCTGTGAGTCAGCCCATGGAACAAATTTCATTTAAGAACTCCTTGATGTCTTGGGCTTCAAGGTAAGACAGATGTTATGGAACAAGTATCTGCTACTTACTGGTTCTGTACACCATCTTGGACAAGTTAATTTTCCAAAGACAAAACACATTCAAAGTCTCAAGGAGAGCTTTATATATAAGGGGCTAGCACAGGTTATGATAGCCCCAGCCCCCTCTGTAGATAAGCCTGGCAAGCCAAGAGCACCTGGATGAAACCAGGCTCACCTGTGTCCCAATCCTGGTTTTACAACACACTACCTATGAAACACTAGTCAACTGGTGTCTCATCTTTCTCATGGAACTAGGAGAATGAACGAAAGCATTCAGATAGTGCCTAGTACACAGCATATGTTAACAAACAACATTCTTTATAAATATTATTAAGGAGGCAGTATTATCACCATCTATGTTCAATGGTTTTCAAAGTATGGTCAGGAACTATAGGTTTCAGTATGCCTGGAGATGTCTGGTGATCAATAAACAAACAAACACCCCCAAAACTATGTCCCACCCTAGCCTATTCACTTATTTGCAAAAGCTCTCCAAGAATAGTACCAAGTAATGTTCATTTCTGAATCAAACTTCCTTGAGATGCGCATGAAAATGCAAAACTTATTGATCCAGCTGGTCTTGTGCTGTGTCAGTAAATTAAGACTTTTTTCCCTAACATTTATTCTTTACTAAGCCAAGAAAATTGCCCAGTATCTGATGGGTTTTCTTTGGCACTGTTCTGGATGCAGATATTAAACTGATGACTTTGTGTTGTTTAGGTTCAGTCCTGACATGTTTTTTTTTTCTCCAGTGGAAGTATTTTGACTCCCTCCACAGTGTACCTACCAACTCCCAGTGGGCAAGATTGGTCTGCATTTTTGTACAACCTCAACCTCCAGAGGGAGTGTGTGTTTAAAAGGTTGTTAAGGGGGTTGGGGGGAGATATTGATTTGACAGAGCAAAGTCTAAAATATTCATTATTTGGTACTTTACAAAAAAGTGTACCAGATATTTTGTAGCTTACAATTAAGTGATTTTAGCCAACAATTTACTTTTTAAAAAATGATTAGAAAAGAAAATATACAAAGCAGTGCACCTAGAAGGAATACTGTTGCCAAAGCTTCAGGAATACATGTAAGCATGCATGTCCACAGCATGATGATCAAACTATACTTGGTTGCAGTCAAAAGTTTTCAAAGTCCTTGAGGGTCAGGCAGGGGAATAAATAGCACAACCAGTTAACAAGTATTTACTAAAACTCCAGTTGAATAATTTTACAGTAAAAGTATCTTGGAAAATATAAAGCCAAATAAAATATCCTGCTGCTTACAAGTTAACAGCTTGTTTCTTACATTACAAAATGAAAATTACATCTTTTCTGTGCACAAATACCCACTGTTATAGGGAGGATATGGAATCATCAATGCACAGTACTTCAAGAGCATTATACAAACAAAATATTTTAGTTACATTAACAATACTATAGGAATACAGGTTCAAGACTCTTAGTTCCTAGCTCCTTCTTATCTGGGAAACAGGTCCTTTCCTTTTCTTTGTGTGTGTGCATGTCTCTGTGTGCATGTCTATGTGTGCATGCCTGCATTTGCACAGATGTGTCAGGAGCATAAAAGAAATATTAGATGCCTCTGTCTTTTCTATGGCATCCATTATTGGCTTCTCCTTTTCATCTACATAAAATAGTACTCTTTCTCTTGCTTCTAATAAGAAAAGCATTTGATTAATTTTGTGTGTGTGCACACAAAAAGAACAATTAAGACTATGATTACCCTATCCTGGGAAACACTAAAAAGTGCCCACAATTTAAAATTTAAGTAACAATTTTCCCTTTTATCTTCATAGTGGACTAATTTCCAGGTTTCTGTGATTGTTTTAGACAAGATAAAAAAAAATCACGAATTTTATAACTCATTTAAATGTGTGATTAATTCTGCAAAGAAAAGAAACATCTTCCTAGGAAGGGACATGAGGAAATGAAATGACACTTGAAAATGTTTTCATTATACAAAATGCACTGTGGATGTACAAACCACAGCAGTATAAATAAATAAAAGCTGGTGCAATGCTACATGTATGTTTGCCTTACACCACAAAGAGAAAACACTTGCACATTTGCACAAGTATTTTATTTTAGCTTGGGATACCATAAAAAATGGAATTTAGGCATATTGTGTAAATACAGGAGGCTGTGAAGGTGCGTGTGTATCTGCGTGTGTTAGGCAAAGAGGGTTGTAAGCAGAAGGGGTGGGACTTGCCAAAAGCAGCTATTTGAGAAAATTCCTTTTCTTTCCCATTCATTCTTTCTAGCTTCAGTGTCTGGCACAGTCCTTACAATTACTCACTGGCTTTTCATTCTAAAGACAACCAACAAGCTTTCAGAACTTCCTACAGTGTTTTTCACACACTTTTCATTTTTTAAAAAAGCACCCAATCATTCAATATGTGTTTTATATTAAAACAACAAGCCATTAGTCCATTTCCTCGTTCCAAAGACCCCTTGGGTTACAGGCTAAAAAGAATACTTTGTTGTGTGTCCAAAAATAACATAAGACAGTACTGGTAAATTGGAAAATAATATATTACTGTTTCCAAGAATGTCACATATATTACCATAAATTTTGAATTACCCCAGTGAGTCCTATTCCATGCTCCTTTTAGTGAATCTACAGTCCTGACAACAGCAAAGCCAAACACATTGAACACTCTCTCTGCCTTTTCTCTTTGGACACCCCAATAGTAAATTTAAGGGCTGAAAGAGGATGCCCAGTGGGCCAGATTCCTTTATTCACAATGGTGTCATCCAAGCGAAATATCTCCAACCACAGTGAAAGTTGTCCTCCCAGCAGATGCCCACCCCAAACCGGACCAGGAAGAGAGCAGGCAGATGGGCAGAGGAAACCATAACCTTTCAGCTCTCGCACTTCCAGAGGCGGGGAAGACGGGGAGGGCATGACAAGAGAGCAGAGTAGGAAGGTGGGCGAGTGGGAGAGACAGAAATGGATGCTGAGGGGGTGGGCGAGATGGGAAGGTAGGGAAGGTGGAAAACGCGGGGTGAGGTGGGTGAGCGAAGCTGCATGATTCAAGAGCAAAGGCGGGGAATGCTAGTGGGCAGCAAGGGGACCCGGGGCGTGGAGGTGTCTGGTCCTCACCGTTGAACGCTCCTGCGTCCGCGGCCTCCTCCTCCTCCTCGCCGTTCTCGGAGTCGGAGCGCATGGGCTCCTCGGCGAAGTTGACCCCCTTGCTGGGGGTGCCGCCCCCGGCGGCTGCGCCCGCGTCCCCCCAGGTCCTGCCCTCATGGCCGAAGCGTGCGGCGCCTTTGCGCTCGTTCTCCTGCTGCAGGCGCGTGAAGTGCTGCAGCGCGAACTCCAGCAGGTCCGCGGGCTGGTGCCTCAGCACCTCCACGGTGAAGCCCTGCAGCAGCTCCGTCAGCCCCGCCGGGATCTCGATACTCATCCTGCCTCCGGGCGGGCGGGCACCTGGGCTCCGCCCTCGCCCCTTTCCTCGATCCGATCTCGGGCCCCGCGGCCACGAAGCGAGTGCCGAGGGTGCAGGAGGCGCTACCCGCAGCGAGCGCGGCGCACTGGGCCCCGGCGGCCCGGCTGGCCCGGCCCGCGGCTCCCGGCGCGCGGCTGCTCCGTGCGGCGGCGGAGGGTGAGCGAGCGCGGCCCCGGGAGGGCTGGCAGCATCTCCAGCTCCTCCCGCTCCTACCGCGGCCGCGCCTCTCCTCCGCCCGGCGCCCCGCCCCCGCCCCGCCGCGGCGCGCCCACGTGACCCCCAGAAACCATGGCAACCCCCGCCGGCAAGCAATGTGCACGCGCCGCTTAGACCGCTGCAGGGCGGAGGACGCTGACAGGCGTTGGCGCTGTAACAGGGAGTGGGACTCCCGCGTGAGGCGCGGGGAAGCAGCCCCGCTGTCCACCTGTCTGCAAGTCTGGGAGCCGTGGGCCAGTGATCCGAATTCCCATACATCATTCACCAAGGGAAACCCACTCAGAGCTGGTGCCTTGCGATTTGTCCTGAAATCAGCCACCACCTCAGTAGTGACATTTTATTTTCCTCTCAGAATCTAGTTGCACTGAGAGATGGTGACGTCTTTTGTCTAAAGTCAGGTAGTGGTACTGGTTCTCTTTTGGTCAAAGAAATCCTATCCCATCTTCGTGATATCTTCATTTTTCTTTCACATTTCATCCAACCTTTCCCTATTCATCCTATGTATTATGGTTTGTCTTGCTGATGCTCCTCCATTGTGCCTTGGGTGCACTATTACTGAGACAAAGGCACCATTTAGTGGTAGGCACTTATCAAAGTTAGTTGATACCGTTCAAACAGGACAGTGCAATTTGTGTACAATGTCAGGGCAGATGGTCCTAAAGCAAAAAAGAGCTTTCTTTGCCTGATTAGTCTCTAATTGTTTATTTTAAAACCTTTCCTTATGATTTGAGTAATTTTCAATTAGAACTAAAAAAAAAAAAACCTGAATATTTCAACATAAAGAGAAATAAAATTGCAAATTTGTGCTTTAAAGTCACCTTGACTGCAATGAGGCTAATTCTGCAAGTGTTTACATTTTTGGAGTAGTGAAAATTGTCTTTGTCAATACTTAATTTTCTACACATACTTAATTTTCTACAGTGACCATATTATTGTAAATAAAGTAGTTCAAGTGCAAGCTCACTTGTTCCTTTTCCTTTTTTTAACTATTATTATTATTATCATTATTATTTTGTGGTGCGGGGAATTGAACTCAAGGCCTTGTGTGTGTGAAGTAAGCACTCGACCAACTGAGCTATATCCCCAGTCCCTCCTTTATCTTTTTTTAGTTTTATTTTATTCACTTAGTTATTCTGATTTCTTTTCACCCACACAAATGAGAAATTAGATGACATAGGAAACTCAAAAACTAGAAATCAGAAATATAATTACTCCCTTTTCTAAAAGTGCATCTTGATATTAATCATGTGTTTAAGATGCATCTTGTATTTATCCCATGAATGAATGTATTTCTCTAGTTTGGTTTCCTAACAACCTCATAATATTGATGTTCTGTTGTTTTTAAAGTCCTTCTGACTGTAATAGTGAAGCACTTTAAAGAAGTAAACTTTTATAAAATATGATAATCCTCACAAATGACTTCTTGGACACAATATTAGTTGATATTTATATTACTTATGATTATTTTGTTCACCTATGGCACAAAATATCGTAACGAAACAAGAGAGACATATTTCTCTGTAATGTAAATGTAGGCCATTCAGGCTGGTAGATTACTCCATGATCATCAGGGACTCAGATTCGTTTGATCTTATTGCTCTGTAATCCTTGGCTTGTGGTCCAAAATGGTTGTGTGCTAGTTACTTTGTCCATATGTCAGCTAAAAGAAAAGTGAAAAAGAGAAGAGAACCTCCCCTTCTCCTCAACATATACCCTTTAAGATCACTTTCTCGCCAAGTCCTCATCTATTCTCTTGGCCAGAATTTAGTCAACATGATGACCACACCTGTAAGTGTAATAGATTGCATTTTCCAAAGTTGACAGCAACAATATCTCCTGTTGCATATGTTCTTCTACAGTGTGACCTTGCAACTCTCCCATGATGAGCTAAAGTCTTACTTCCTCAAAATGGGATGGTGTACTGCTTCGAACAACAGAAGATGCTGGAAATCACACTGTGATGTTTGCCCTATTAAAGGCCGAACCAAAGATTCCATGAACATAAAGAAAAGGTTATTTTAAGCCTCTGGGTTTGGGAGTAATTGGTTACTCAACAATAGTATCAGAAACACATGATTATAGGGAAAGTTTGGGAATGTAACTTTTATTTCGAGCTGTTAGGTGCCAAGAAAACATTTATTTGAAAACATTTATTTGAACTAAGTCTGGGCACTTGTCAGTCTTTGCCACAACGTTTAACACTTTCTTCCCAGGGAAGGACACAAGAAAGAAGGCACTAATCTTCCAAACATTAACAAGAGCCATATTTTAAAGTGTCATTCTACATCTTGTTTCCAGATTCATTTATTTCTTTTGGTAGATTTATAAGACGTGGTAGATGGCCCTCTGTCATCAACCACAATGCCACAGAGACTCATTTCTTTAGGAGTGTAGAAATGAACCAAGCATGAAATGTATAATTGGACTAGAAGACCTATTGGTCTCTGGCATCCCAGGAGATTTACAATAGTGTAATATTAAAAAGAAGATATGTTACATTGAAAATATCTTCACAAACACTTCTCTAAAGATTTTTATTTGCATCAATTCTTAAATCAATAACCATGACCTGAAAAGATAAAGTTTGGTCCTGATGTTCACATTATGTTAGTATTGTTCCCAGAACAAACACTTCTCAAATCATGTTCTGGATTTTATTTACTACCACATAACCTTTTGGTAATATTGTATGATTTTCTTTGCTTTCATTTTCAAAATATTTTCTTTTGAACCTTAGAGTGCAGTGACGGTGACTTAGTGGTACTGTTTATCCTGACTTCTTTAAAAGAACATCCCTGGTATTGATTCTTTGGTTGTTGATTTACAAAGCAATTTGTATTAGTTTCTCAGAGAATCAGACTGTGAAAGAACTCGGAGCTCAAAAAAACATTGAAATAAGAGTTCTAACAAATGTGTTTTCACTCAGAGAAATTAAACATATTGGACAGAGATATCAATTTGCATGTATGTGGCTGCCAAACCAAAAACAAGCCAACAGTTTGGACAAGTTTACAATGCAGAATAATAACTATAACCTGTCAATCATGTAGCGTTCCCTATCAAAAGTTAAGATGTGTTCTGATAAAGTCTTTCTGGTACAAGAAATATATACCCACTCAAGGCAAAAAAAAAAAAAAAAAGCAGTTGACAGGATACAGGGGCTGTTTTTGCCTAAGGCTCACTGAAGCCATCACAGTAAGTTTATGTACTTTATATTTTATATACAGTTCAACATTGACTACAGTTTTGGTGTCTCTAATATTCTCAAGAGAGTAAGTCCGGGAAGCTGGTCTTGACTATCCTAAGGATTGCCTTGCCTTGACTGAGGTAATCCAGGGAGGCCATTGGAGTGTAGGATGAGAAATCAGTCAGGTAGTATAGACTTAGCAAGATCTACCTCTTCAGCAGAGAAAAGCCCCAAACATTGGGACCAGAATGGTACATGTATCTTACAAAATGTCTGCTAAAGAATGGTCAACTCAGTTTCATAGCTTGAAAATCTTATAAACATTTAGACTAAACATTTGGATTAAAATGTTTAATCTCTAGATTTAGCTTTTAAAGAAGTACCTCCAGAAGACAAGTAGTTCCCAGATTGTGGCAAACATCTGAAACACCTGGAAGACTGGTTAAAATATAGTTGCTAAGCCCCACCCCTAGATTCAGTAAGTGTGAGGTAGGACCCCCAAATTGGGATTTCTATTACATACCCAGGTGATGTGTACACTGTGGGTCTGGAAAAAACACTTTGAGAACCAAAGTGGTGCTAGATTCCCTATGGAGGAGTTTATGCTCATGATGAAAAGGGAGCATCTAGAAGTAACATTTTGCTTAACATCAAAGCATAAACTTTCCTCTGGCTAAATGAAGACAATGCAAATTCATTCTTTATTCTATTCTCCTTTAAGGGGTTTTTAAAAGTTAAAGACATTTTTTAAAAAGCATCAAAGAATATCTCCTTAAACACCAGATTTTGCAAATAGAATATGGATTTATTTTTGAAGACCAAATTGGATACACACTTTTTAAAAATCTCTACTTCCTGAAAGCTCACCAAAATAATAACTAAAGGAATAGAGGAAATTCATAAGTTAAAAAAAAAAGGAAAGCCACAATAAAAATTAAAATACTTTTTAAAAAAATTAAATCTTAAAAGGAAGGAAATCCTTACATGTGTTTGAAGACATTATGCTAAGTGAAATAAGTCAGTTACAAAAAGATCGATCCTGTATGATTCCACTTTTATGAGGCATTTAAAAGAGCCAAATGTCATAGAAACAGAAAGTTGATGGTGGTTGCCAGGGCTGGCAATGGAGGAATGGAGAATTGTTGCTTAATGGGTAAAGAGTTTCGGTTTTGTAAGATGAAAAAGTTTGGGAATTGGTTGCACAACATGTGAATATATTTAAATGTTACTGAATTGTCCCCTTGAAAATGGATAAGATGGCAAAATTTATATTATGTATATTTTATCAAAAATTTTAAAGAAATGTTTATTTTTTAAAAAAGATCAAGAAAAAAGACAACAGCTGATGAAAGTTATCTGCTAAAGCTTTGGAACAAGTTTAACAAACCAGAGAATGCTGAAACCTAAGCCTGGGTGAGGGGTCAGTGAGAGGAAGCCAACAAGAAGCAAGATCACATCTGTCTCCCAGAGTGCAGAAGCATGGCATCTGAAGACACTGGGTGCCTCTGAAGGGATGCGAAGGGGAGAGGATTGGCTAAATGTACCAGGTGCTGGTAACACTCTTCACTTTCAGACCCCTATGTACCCTGTATAAGCAAGAAACTGCTGCTTCCCATTTCCCCTGACCCTCTTGAGAAATTGTTCCTGCTAGTGTCACCTCTCTCACCTTACATCATTGTTTGCTCTGCAACTGAGCTGTTCTGTGATAAGCAGATCCAGGGTGATCTG